AGAATTGGTGTGAACTTAATTTTAAGCCTATAAAAGAAAAATTTAGCAATGGAGATAAGATTACTACCTCACAGATCACCTTATATATTCTATAGATAAGACACAATAACTTAAAAATAACAAAAATATTGGATTTAGTGTTGCCGTTGATCAAGTGGTGGTATTAACATTAACTCAGTATAGGTTTATTTTTTATTCTGAACTGAGAATCCTTTAACAACGATTATTTTCAATAGCAATAGAAAATCTGGACGTGACTCGAGTCACGTTTGTTACATTAATGTTTCTTAGGTGAAACTGGAAATTTTATTTTCTATAGAGAAAGGTTATTATTCACATAAATATTACTGTCTAATCATTTCAATGCACTATAATACGCACAATCAGAAGTTGGAATAGATAACAAAGAAATAGAGGTCGATAATCAATTTATTTCTATAAATTTTAACTGGAAAGCACAAAATACATTTCCTAGGTTTTTTTTTTGGCAACAAAAGCCTGTATAAAGGTTAATTTTGCGCTTACTTGATAAATATAATTGATGAAATTTGTATCGATTGTTAATTGTTGTTTTATCAGGACATATCCAAGTAAATACCAATTGAGAAAAATTAAACAAACCACCTAAAAAAATCAATGAATGTCGCTAAACCAGAAAACCCGCATTTTTTGTGTTGCACCTTGACCACAACAGTGGTCATTATGTTAGAAATTCCAATTTAAAAAATAGCCTTATTAGTCAGTGTCACCATGGTACAATGATTTCATTTAGTTTGTGAATAAAAAAGAATAGATTTCGTTTGCGGATCAGTTGTATTTTAGATGTTGATACATTATTTATATTTTATTTTGGTATAGCCAACTTAGGAGCACTTACATAGTTGAAAATTACCTACCAATAAATCAATTTTTATAAATTATCCATTTCGCAAGGTATAATAGAATAATGGTAGACCATAGACCCTGCAGAATATTTAAAGATACATTTCCTAAAAGGACAAATTGGCATTAGTTAATCTCTGTGGTAGAAAGTATCTATTCTAAGTCCCAAGGGCCTCAAATTTCGAATCTGATCTACGAAACCGTTTGCACAATTCCTACGTGCGGAATCCCAGCCGATACTCGAGGGCATCTAGCCAACCACCTCTGTGAAGTAGAACAAGCTGAATTCAACAGAGCCGCAAATCGATCCAAACACGCAAAGCTGCAGGAGACGACATCTGGAGAGCCCGGCGCTGTTATCAGAATGACCTTCATGGGGCGCCGAAAATTTCACACGAGTTTCGAATTTTTCCGCGATGACAACATGAATGCCATGAAATTCAAGCCAGGACATGTGACCGAATTGTCATATAAATTTAAAACAACAGTCAGATTCCACGACGGGGCAAGTTATTAGCCTAACTTGGGAGAGGTCAGATGTCAAAATTCATACCGAAGAGCAGCTCTCGAGAACTGGCGGAGTTACTATGAAGTGTGATCGAACGTCGACTTTGGTAACTTGCAGTTTTATAACCAGCAAAAGTTTCTTGCCTGTGTATGTACACAAGCTAAATTCAAGCTTATTAGTTGCCTTTCGACACTTTGGTTATTATTATTGCATTAGTGTATTGTACGGGGTAAGTGCTTTTGTCTTATAGTCCAGTTTCTATTAACTCCACAGATTCCAAATTTGCAACAAAAAAGTACATTTTTAAACCGGTTTTTCAAACAGATTAACTTATACCCTACCTCCTACTTGTACCAAAGTCTTCAATTGAACTGCGTGATACAGTAATGCGTATTTTTTACTTATCTTTACATAGTTGGGGGTTACGTGCTTATGGCAAATGCAAAAACAGGTAATAAATTAAATATTGCTGAATGAGCCTATTAACATTATTCTCCAAAAACTTGAAACGAAACGTAGAACAAAAGGATTTACAATGTCAAGACGCCATTACAAATGACAGCAAGTGCTGATTAATTTTGTGTTGTGCTGTTTTTTTTTGTGAATCGCATTAATTTGACATCAGTTATAACCCTATAAAATGAAAAGTATATGTAAATTATGTTATTAGTACCCTGTTGTATCTCCAGTAATCTTACACTTGGGATATGTTTATTAAACTCGTGTTTCCTTGCACATTTTTTATATATTTGGATAGAACGTTTTCTGAGAATTACAATAAGGTTTGATAAATTAGACCTTTAGACTATTTTCACACAGTGTGTTCTCTCAAAAAAAGGGCATAAGTTTGGCATGTATCTACAAAATGCGACGTTCAATTGTTTTTCTAAATGCAGTTTTGAAATCACAAAAAAAATTCCTGCAGATCTGGTCCGTATCATTATTCTATATATATCTAACCACGAAAGCATAAAAGATGTGTGTATAATATTACATGAATAATTTTGTATATAAAAAAATACAATTACTAGTAATTTGTACAAAGCCATCCCGAACTGAAATTTAAAAAATAAAAATTATGCGGCATTTTATCGGCGTACTAAACAAGCTATCGACGTGAATCTGTTTTGCATTGGCTGATGTGGTTGGTACTACTGGAATCGATTAACAAATTTAACTTTATTTTGTGGTTTAGTTCTATCTAAGCAATGCCTTTTAAGCAACAACGAAACAACATACCTAATTTTATAGGAAAGTTATAAACCGGCGACTCCGCCACTTATTACAGTCACGTTTAAGCCCTAAAAGCCTCGGTTCAGGGCTTAAGTGAAATTTGTGCAGTTTATATCTGCTTTCAATTCTCCATTTCAATACATAAATATAAATTTATTTATTTATTTAGTACTTATTTTACAATCATTAAAGATATATTGAAAATATTGATTTTTACGTCTTTACCTCTCAAATTTAAATTAAGATTTTACTGGTACTAGACAGATACACATACAGTGATTATTGAAATATGTTTCAAAAAAAAAATAGTACAATCAGAGTTCGTATTCCATTTTTTATTTCAGTAGTAACCGGGAAAGCAATATTATGTTTTAGTTTTTATTATCAAAACAAAACAAGTATTTCTGTACAAATTTTACGGCTTTCTCGTTAAAACATTAATTTATTTTATGAACAATAAAATGTTATCTTTAAAGCGTGTGCATTAAATTTTTTGCATTTTCTACGTTACTGCATTGCGATATTTCGATATACGATATTTCCAGTACACGTTAATCAAACTGTAATAAAAGGTTATATGATGTATAATCGTAGCAATATGTTCGCTATAGAGATATAACAAATACAGATAGAAAAAATAGCCCAGTCTGTGAAGGCCACAGAATCAATTAACTAAGAATATGGCTGATTTTTTTTTATATATAAGTACTTCAAATTATGCAGATTAATATAAGAACAAGTTCATTGATCAATCGATTTCCCAAAGTCCAAAAAAATTTTGAAAAACATTTTGATTTTCAAAATTCTTTAATATTTTGGACTGGAATGAAGATGGAGAAAAATAAAATATACCACCTTGTAGGGGAAGTTTTTTTCAACAAAAAAGATACTTCGCACTTTTTTCGTCCGACCTATGGTTTAGCCGGAAAAAAATCAATAAACTAGGTATGCATTTCGCGCGTCCGAAGCTCGGCTAGTCGCGTGAGAACCTATTTTTTGTGATAGCCCATTTTCAAGTAGGAAGTCTAAACCTTTCAATGGTATGGTTAATTTTTTTCAAATAAAAGATCGATTAAAAAATTAAACATATTTATACATATTCGAATAGAAAACCGAGTCTCAATGACAAGTATACTTAAATATAAGGATAGTTCGAAAAAAAAGTATCCAACTATCCACATAAGAAATACAGTATACGTGAAAACGATGATTCTATGTAATTTTGTATTTAATTTTTTCCCTATGATTTTGTAATAAACATATGTAAATATTACTATGTATTTACTATCCTGAGTATATCCGAAAATCTAAAGAAAAAATGTTGATAAATATTTTTCGAAAATTTTGAAAATTTTGAATTTTTTAAATTTTTTATTTTTTTGCATTGAATTAAGAGCGAATATTCATTTCTACATATTAATGTATTCAATATTTGAGTGAAATTTGACAATTCTTACGTTTGAAGATTGAATCTATTCGTTTGTTTGCCCGTGGAAGATGACTTCATGGATTTAAAAATTTTTTCCAGACAAACCATAGTTCAGACGAAAAAAGTGCAAAGTATCTTTTTTCTTGAAATCTTCTATAAGGTAGTATTTTTATTAGTAGTACTCATAGAAAATGTGAAAGAAAAACCTAACAAAAGCGTAAGGGAACGAAGTAGTTGTAAATTTTTAAACATTAGCTTCCATCATTGTCTAAAGACTAAAAGAAATATAGTGCAACTCAACATTTGAGGCGACGCACATTTCAAACCTAATCGTCTCACTGTCATCAACATCATTCTTAATTATTTTTTATAAAATTATACGCCTCGTTAAGTTAGGATAACTTCTGTGGATTTTAATTCTATCTGCTTCCCAGAACCAAAGTAAAAGTAATTTCAAGTGTTTCCCTACACTTTGGTCTAGCGATTCCTTGAATAATAAACAAAAATAATGGTGTATGACGCGCGTAACAAAAGATGCATCGTAGTCAGTATTTTTAATTAATTTATTTATAGTGTGGGATCGACTTTGAATATAACATAATAAAACACTAACTCATATCTTTTCGAAAGAAGATTTCGTGAGATCATCTACCGCCTCTGCATCCTATCGAATAAATATATATGTAAGCAGTATATTATATTGACGTATTATCCTCTTCGAAAATATGCCAACTTGCAGGTATATTTTCGTAACAGTCATGCTGATGTTCATTGAAAGTGTATACATTATGCTTAGTAATAAACATATTAAGTTTTTTTTAGAGTACACCCATTATTTCTTTGGATTATTCAGAAACAATTTTATCTCGTAAAATATAATGAATATAGCAAGGTCACAAAACAACTAGCAATTATTATTATTTTTTTTATTTATTGCAATTTCGTCAGTTTCAGTGGATTCTGGTCCCGCCGTCTCGAAGAGGGTGAGGACTCCACGCCCTGGATCTTCAACGAGGCGGACGCCCCACTCACCACCATAAACACCATAGATGACCGTCACCTCCTGGAAAAAGACCTGACCTACCTGCAGAAGTTCCTTCTGGATCCCCGAGGAGTGATGGCAAACATCCCCGACGGAGACGAAGACTTGCGCGATATAATCCGATCAAAAGCGGCCAGACACCGCCAGTTCTATGAAAGCCTAGTAGGCACCGACATCGCGCCAGGTGAGGCTTCCCCGGATAACCGCGAGATGGCGCAATCGGTATGCGAGAACGCTGAACTTTGCGATGTAAACAAACGCGGATCGCCTTCCCCAGAGCCCACTGAGGAAGACGATGCAGGTAGCGAAGCGGGTGGTAAAAGGCAGCGTAGGCAGGGGGTGTACGAGCTGTCAGGGGTGGTGGACGACGATGCGACTATTTTCAAAAGTGTGAAACAGTTGCGCGAGAACTATCTGGCCATGTTGGAGAAAACCTCCAGGAATCTAGCTTTGGCCGCCAAGGAATCCGCGGAGAAAGACAAATTCGACTTGCTGGTGCCGCCTCCGAGTGGGTATTGCAGTTCCTCTGCCTCGGGGGGTAGTGACGACGAGCGCGAAAAATCGTGGACGCAGAAAAACGCGGTGCGTAGGTGCGGGAGTTCCGATTCGGCCGTACACAGCGACGAGGATGCCGCCGTAGTTTCCAGCTGGGTCGAGAAGAGGGAGGAGTACAATGTGGGCGAGGGTAAGTTAAAAGGCGAATTTATCATTTATCACATAAGTTACATTTGAAACTATATTTTCCATGATATTCTCCCGGCATTGAAAAAATGGAAATAATATGTGGCACTTTTTGATTAATTTTAAATTAATTAAATCAGATATCGGCAAAATATCACTGTGTAACTCGAATACCAAGGAAATGTATCTTCATTTTATACTACAGTCCCAAAATTGCAGGCCGTGACTGATTCACAATAAATTGATTCTTGCGATGGATAAGGCGTGCGGAGAATGCGCTTCCATAGGCGCATCATTTTAGAGAAATTATTAAATGTAGTGCAGCAAATAGATGTACACTTTTTTCTTCCTTTTTATTGAAGGGCGCAGCCATGTGTTTCACTAACTGGGCTCCTGCGAAAAGTCTACTTACGTAGTATTGTAACAGTAAGGCTATACAAAATCAGTAAAACCGCTAAAACTACTGAAAGTACAAACATTGGTGAAAAATGAAGTGTACCACTGATAAAACACTAGAAATGTCCATTATGAGCATATTATACTGTCGCTTAATCAAGGTGTGATAAGTAATTCTATATGTGTAATTAATCATCCATTTCGAGAAGGTGCTTTTCGTACCTTAGGAGATTCTTTTAATAATGTTTCTTCACTGATGTCGACTTGTTGAATGTTGATATTTAAGTCTTGACAAACAGTGGAGTTCCTATTCTTCATTCCTTTTTCGTTTTCGTTGTAGGATACTTTTTTGTAAATACTTTCTCTTCGCCATACTACAATTTTGTATTAAAAAGTCGTTGAGAATTTACTTTATAATATTCGTATCTATATTAGTGGCGTAAGTCTACCTGGAATTGTTTTGGTAACTGTCTAATCTAGTCACATACGTAGGTAATTTTTGGGTATTTTCTGATGATAAAACTTCAACTGATTACTTTCTTTTTAAACTTACCACAGTTGGATTTTCAGAGGTATTCACTAGATTCAGGAAAATACAAGTAGATATGCAATTTCATAAAACCCTTTGATGTACTTGCATAACTATGGTAACTTTAATTAATCTAATCTTTTCAAATTTCTCCAGTGTTTTGTATACCGATAAGAGCCTTGCATCAGCCATTGCCCTCGCCATTGCCGTATCTCAGTTTCGCACGTATTGTTCTTTACTGGTACCTAGAAGTGTTGGAATCTTTAGAAATACGATACAGTTACTTGCTATTGAAACGCACAATAGCAGCAGAAAATAGGTGAAAATATTTTGCTCATCATTCGAGATTTCATACAAGAACAGTTCAACAATATGTATATGCTACTTAAAACTGTAAAAAGTTAGTGGGTAATGTCAACAAAATTTTTGACTTAAATTTGTACAATGTGTAAGTTCTCTAGCGCTGTCCATGATTGGGTGAGAAAACGTGCAAAGTGTGTTTGTTATACCTTAATTACCGCACACTGGTACAAAACAGCATTTTGTACCTAGTGTCTATGTGACTATAAATTTCTACATAAAACACTACAAATGACAAAAACCAAAGTGGGTTGGGACCCAGAATAAATATTTAATTAGTCTGGATGTACAAAAGCACATAAAGTGGTCTAATCACGGTTGCACTTGGCAGAAATTCCCAAAACATCATTTTGTCAGCGAGACAAGTACGAGAACTACAAGCACTTCTATTTTCCATCACAGGATTCTCCCAACTTTCTCAGATGTAGGAATCCCAATTTTTATCTATCATCACGTGTCCCTGGCGCATGAAAATCGAAACATTAATTCCCAGAAACAATTTGAAGTGTGAAAATTGGTAACCCCCCTGACCTAGTTAGATATTTGTTGTTCATTCGTACACTTTTCAGATTATTGATATACACCGGGTGGCAAAAAAAGGGACTGCCTCTTTTTGCCTACAGACCTACGTTCAAAAATTAAATTATAAATAATAATACTGAGTAAGATAATTGGTAATATTTAACTTTTCTATAAATAATAATATTTATTAGATATATCATTCATATCTTTATATTACGATATTACTAGCTCTAGTATTTTTACTGATGAGATTGAGGATATTGCGGGAAACAACTACTCTATGGGCTATATGTCCTGACTAGCATTGAATTATACTGCTAATATCTAGTACCTAAATAGCTAGTAATTAGCAATTATCTAAAGTAAAAATGAAATATACCTATATATGTGTAGGTAAATATTATTAAATAAAAAACATATCTAAAATAACCTCGAAAATAACTTAATTTTTAGAAAGAAATATATTTTATTCTTGTTGTTCTAACATCACCTTTGACAAAGACGAAAATATAACTATGATACATAGATTCCAACTGTTTCTATATTTTGTGGATTGCTTTTTACTAGTAAATGGAATTAATAAATATTAACTGAACAAAATTATATGTAAAACATAAAAATTTTAGGAAAAATAAAATTTTGAAAGTCGGTATCAAAAATGTTGACAATTAATATGAATTATTCCTTTTTAGTGAACTAATATTTGTTATAGTCTATCCGAAGTCAGTTGAAGATGTATAAAAACGCCTAACAATAAAATTTAATGAGTTTCATAGGCGTCCCTAAAAAAGTTTTCTGCTAAAGGTAAAAAATTATAATAATTTGTATATAATGTGTAGAAAATTTCCATTATGTATTCATTTGATTTTAATTATGTATGTCCTCAAACAATTTTATTATATTAATAGTAAATTTCGTTTTGTTCCGTTTCAAAAGGTCTCCAAAACACCATGTTGTAATAATATTAGTAAATAAATAATAATAATAATAATAATAATAATATTTATTATCTCCAATTTGAAGTACAATCGCATAACATTTTACAGTTATTATTTTTTGGAAATAAAAGGTTAATATATTAGCTTACTGATTTGGAAAATCAGGAGCTGTTAAAACCTATAGTACAATTTTCTAGAATATCAGATACTTTTAAGACGGCTGAAATAAACAAAATATATGTGCATGTATGGTAATAGTGAAAGGAAAGCAAAAGAGAATAGAAACATGGAGAATAACGTTTTGCTTATTAATACATGAAACTATATGAATGAAATATACCTCTTACTTCTCCCTTTCGCAATTGTAATATGAATGATTAATAGAAGGTGCATATAATACATTAAAATCACCTGAATCACACCATATTGCTGCACAGCACTCCTAAGCAATTTGTCAACAACTGAAATTTACGGCCCAGTCGCCCAGTGCGGTTGTGTTTGTTCCGCGTTTGCCCGTGCGCTCATTCTTCAAGTGGGCGACCAGATTTGTATGTGGGTATGGCTAAATAAATATGGGAACTAGTTTTTCAAATATTTCAATGCCAAGTTGCTGCGTTAGCGACCAAATCTGGTACATACTGCCAACCTATTGGTTCTTCAATTGACATCGGAAAGACTATACACTTTTGACAAAGACCAACACATACATAGATATAGCCAATATGGATAGAATTCGACTATTTCTACGTTTTAAAGATAGTTTTTTAAGAAGACCACTTAATTTATTTGATTTAGCTTAGTACATTTAAAATAAAGTAAAAATATTTCAAAAAATATCTTATGTGTATTTTTTAGTGTTGCCTTTTGCATCAAGATACTTGTAATCAATAATTAATCAGATGCAATATAATGTAACTACAAACCGAAAACAAAAACAATGTGGTTTTAAAAATTGTTTTCGTTTCATTTGTTCTTGGAACTTAATTGAATATAATTCTTGATTATAATTGTCACAATATTTGCAAATAGTTGGTACTACATGTTTTTTTATGTAAAACTTATGGATGTTAGCTAACCTCAGCCAAGAATTATATTTGAAATAATAATAAAATATGTTGCATACAGAAAAAACTGACTTCAAACAAAATACACCTTATCCAACGACATTATTTTTGTATTTAATAATTATATTTGACGTAAGATTCTCAGGTTTCGTTTCCAAAGTCGAAGATGATTGCACCACATTTTTTTAAATTCACTCTTCCACTATTTTTGTTACATGAAAATGTAGTCAAATTATATCCATTTCTACATATTTACGTTTAATTTCGCTGTACTGACGCTCGTACAGGGATCAAAAGAGCACCTAACTAAACGTAAATAAGTCAGGCGAGTAGTCGATACGATTGCTAGCAAATAAATACTATCTAAACATTACCTCCATTACAGTCGAAGCACTTGGTAACTAAGAATTACTAAAATATCGCATAATAAAGCGAAAACATATTTTATTGTTTATATTCAAGCCACCGACATGTGCAGTGTAATAGGACACCCTGAATGTCATTACAAAACTAAACAAAGACCGATCATAAACCAATATTAATAACTCTGAAACAATATAAATAAAAAAATTATCAATCAAATGTCAGCCGACAACCCGCCGGCTGACGTCATAGGTTGTAATATGCATGTAAACCTCTGTCTGAATTCCATTCAGACATAGTATTACAAAAAAAATCTAGGTATGAATCAACCTTTTTGACCGCCAACATTTCTCAAGGTTTAAATACTCTTGTTTCAATCCGTTGCTATTGTGCGGTGTGGGTACTTATGCAATTTCTAAAATTATTGGCATTATTTCTAAGTTTTCAATTCAACTCGTAAAGGTTTATTCAAATTATTATCTTTATGATTACTCTTAGCTCATTTTTAGAAAAAGAATTGACTTGAGATAATTAAAAAGTAATAGCATATTTCTTTGATAGGTATGATGTATGAGTATTTTTAGTAAATCTTTTTGCACCATCATTGAGTGATATGTTCTGAAAATATTGAAAAGGACACGTCTCAATATTCCTTCGAAGAAAAAAGATTATTTTCTAAAGAATTCAATAATTCGAATCATAATAGCCCTTACTAGACGACTGTTATGTTCAATCTAATGTCCGCGACAGCTGTTTGTAACTACATAATAAAGTATGATATCGACAGTATGACGTCAATCAGCGGTTGCTGCTTTATACCTATAATTAATAA